TTTACAATGAAACCAGACAACACTGGTTGATCTACAGTGGTTTAAACATGTAACGGGACTGAAACTTTGTTCTCTTTCTTTTCACTGATAAATCAGATTTGAAAGTTTGCTCTGGCACTGCCCACCAAACTAGTAGTCCCAATTGATAAACCAATTTAATCTCTGTCTCGCTGAACCCCAGGATTATCCTGGATGTCAATTAGGCAGTAACTGGGAAGGCTGTAGATGATGGAATTTCCCAGTATCTATGAAACAAAATATGGTGATCAGATTAGGCAGGCCATCTTTCCCGCTCCAAGCCTGTATTATTTCAAAACTTATTTTTCATGAGCTTCAGCAACCTGATACCTCCAATTAAAAACCCTGCAAAGGTGCAATGGAACACTTCGTTATCCATTCACACTTTCCCTATCTTGAAATGGTGGAATATGACGGTGTAATAAATTAACATTTTAGTTTCATTTCAAGTTTTATTTGATACAATCTTTTAAATTATCTCAAAGGCCACATTGTACAGAGCTTTATAAAAGAACATTGTCAATAACCATTGTTCAGTAACCAAATGTTCCAATTAAAATTAAAAACCTAAAGCTCTAAAAGAAAACCTAGCAAAGATCAATTTTTCTTACTTATCTTTCTTGTCTATGTAAACCAAATAAATTTAACTTGATCATAAAAAACTCTGATTCTAAAGCAAACAAGCTTTTCATTGTTTCAATTGATTGACAATAAGCTTTAACTGTGTGGGGTGAACCAATAGGACACAGTAAGAGAAATAGGAAAAGTTATGAATAATGATTTGTTATAATTTTTTTGCAGTACCCTATAGTTCAGCATATGACATTTTATTTATAAGGCATAAATACAAAAAGAAATACCAACATGTTCATCATTATTTTCATTTATACTATCTAATACATTGTTTTCCAATCACACTAAGGATTATAATGTATCTATACCTGCATTGCTATTATGTCCATACAAAAGTTTTTTATACCTAACACAATGTAAGTTACAGTTAAGTAACTGGTTCACAAGCTTTACCACAATATAATTTCAGGCTATTGCTGCCAGATAGTTATAATGATTTGTTATTACAAAATAATAAATATTAAGGATCCACCTTCCCTAAATCTCAGCACTTGTCCCAAGGTAGAATCCTGCCACAAGAGCTATGCATTGGCTTCAACAGTAATCAACCTGATCAAGAAAGAATGTGAAAACAGCCTTCTGCATGATAGCCAGTCTATACGGAAGTTAATGCACCTCTGGATAATGCTCAGGCCTTATTGGATGCCCAGCTGCATCTGACACCATTGGTCATTACCCACAACCAGTTGTCCATAGTTACAGGTGGGTTAGATCCTGTCACTTTTAGTGGTGTGGAAACCAACATATTGCTTGAATACCAGAAAAATGCCCTGGATATTTATATGGGAAGTTTGTGAATGGTTTAAAGCTAGAGAGCTGTTCCACAGGGGACCAAGGCTAGCAAATAGGTGAAACTGGTGTCTGAAGTATTAATGGTGCTGCTTTGGTTCCTAGGGCATTCTTCCAACTTGACAAAAGATGGCACCACAAATCTTTTTGGGGGAGGGGAGCTACCGGAATCCTGCAGTCAATAGGTGTCAATTTGAAGTCCTCATGTTAGCTTTACCACAAGCAGAAGGTAACATTGGACAGTATTGGGCTGGATGGGAAGGGAAGGATAAACTGGCTTCTATGATCAAGCAAAACGTCATTTAGAAAAGGGTAAGGGATGTCAGCTCTACCAGCACAGAATCACAAAACTCAGTGCTATGATAATGGCAAAAAAGTTGTCACCATAACCATGGCACACTGTGAGTGGAGTCAGAAAAACCTTCCTCTTTTGTGCAGTACACAACACACAAATGCAATTCATGTAGGAGAAACACTACCTGCTACTGGCACACTGTAGATGGCGCACACAGGGCCGCCTTTTTTGAAGGAAAGAAATTTTACATGCACACATGATTGGCCATCGCTGCACTGCACCTCTCTTCTGAATTACACCGACATGGAGGAGCTACCCTGCATATCTGCCATCAAACATCTGCAAGCCCACTATTTAAAATTGAACTGAAAGGCCTACAGAGTTATGTGAACCAAGTATTTTTTTTCTTTAAAGATGTGTCCTATTCTACACATATTTGATTTTCCTTTTGTGCTTTAAAAATGTGGATCCTTTGTGATATATAGTAGTCAACTAATATGGTATAATATTAAAAATAAATAATAATAATAAAAGGGTAGTTTTCAACTAATGCTTGTTATTTGGTTAAACATTTGAAACTAATGTCTAAAAAATTACAGGATTTACTCTTGTATGATGCAACAGGTTTAACTGAAAGGACATTTTAAGTCTTTCTCCAGGTCTCTCCTGGTAATCTGCCACATTTTTGATGGTGCTTACAACTCACCTACAAAGCTGCCATTCTGAGCCAGATTCTTGGGTGTGCTTGCTCATTCTTGTCTCTTCAGATTGGCAGAAGCTCTCCAGGGTCCCAGAGAGAGCTTTCTCCTGACTGTGTTGTGGGTGTGTAAAGTGCCATCAAACCAGATGGAGGAGACGAAGGCCACAGTTCTATGTAATGAAGTCATGGAACCCTTGAAATAACAGGATTTAGTTATAACTATAACAAGTTTAGGATAGTTTGCATTCTGTTTCTTACTGAGCCATTCTCTCTCTTAAAATAATAATAATAATCCGGCACACTGTCACATTAGACAGCAGTTCTAATTATGCCAGAGTCCACCCAAACAGCAAGAAGACAGGATGATTCTTCCATTTCTGGCCTGGGTGGCATCTAAATTCTCAGAGTCAAAACTCAAAGAGTATGCTGCCGCTTGAAAAACTGCAAATTAGATGAGACATTAACATAAAAGTAGACTCCTCATACTGATTTCAGTTTGACCCATCCACAAGCTTCTTACAGAGACCAGTGTTGCATAACACTAGTCCCCTCTACAACCCCCTCCCCTGAAACCAAGTGATAGTAAACCCACACCCAGCTCTGTTCCCAGAGACCAGAAAATAAAAAAATGCAAGTCTTCCACTTCTTCCACATACAAGCCTTCCAGCAATTCCAGCTCAAAAAAAGTGCAAACTCTACATGCAGAAAGGATTAGGGCAGTTTCCATGGACTGAGTTTCTCTCAGCTTTTCACAGTTGAAGTATGAAGGGGCTCTTTATTAACTCAGTTAATTAACTGATTTGAACTAAGGGACAAACGGAAAGCCAACTAAGGGACAAAGGAAAATCAACAGATAGCTAAAATAACAAAGGAATATATGAAACACTGTTATCTTGAAATTTTCATATTCAAGTCCAGTTCTTTGTTGGAGTAATTTTTTTGCAATATTGGGACATGTAAACTCACCAATACACCTCTGTTTCCCAGTGGGGCCAGTAGCTGTTTCCCAGACTTGTTTTAGATTAAATCCCCTTCCCACATGCTAACCCTCATGCCTGATAATTGACAATCCTGGTTCTCCAATAAGCATACAAACTTGGCAATGCTGGTTCTCCTACAAACCCAGACGTTTGCAAAATGCCTACTTGTCACATTCACATATTTTAAAATATGCAGGTTAAAAAAAGTAACATCAGAAGAAAATAAGGTATGAAGAATGATTTGTCCACAAATCTGGGAGTGGTGGAATCTACTTAGAAACTAAAAAATCCCAACAATATCAAATTCCAAAAGGCACAAAGCTTAGGCTTGACTTGGTATGGTTGGAATGGAGCAGCCTTATTGGTACAACTCAAACCTTTCGTGTGGGGGGATACAAGGTGATTTTTTTTTTTGCATTAACATAAGAAATCCTTAAGAAACTGATTTTTCAGTAAGATTTTTTTTAATACATAGCAGATGATACTTTACCTAAGTGCTCAGCAACAACATAGGAGGTCTTCAAGTAAGACCAGGATTCAAAGAGCCCTTATTGAACACTGTATGAACACATCTATTCCATAGCAATAAATTCTGCTTTCAAACCAGAAAAATGAAGGAACATGACCCAAATACAATACATTCAGGGTTTGCTACATTTTTGGAGAACGATAGCACTGCTTTCTTGCTGTGTAACAGAATGCCTCTTGTACAGGCCAGTTACCCAGCAGTGGTTCAATTTCAGTATACATTTCTATTTTAATGGTGGTGGGGAGTTAATTTCTTAATCAATCTCCAATTTGGTAAAATATTTTATTTCCTCTTAAAGGGATGAAAAAGGATAAAGATGCCATTGGTAGCAAAATGAAACCAAGCTACTGTTAAGTTTGTTGGCTGCTTTGCTCTTTTCAAAGAAACCTTTACAGGTTTCCCTTGCTTGAAAGGCAGTCTAATATGACTCTGTGCTCATCTCTGTTGCCAAACCGAAGAGCCAGCGCTATCCAAAGACTTCTCTGTGTTGTTATCGTAGTTGTCGTTATAGTTTGTTTGTTGTCTTGTTGTTGTCTTATTCTTTATAGTATCTTTCTTTCTTTTCTGGAAACAATAAAATCTCCTAGCTTTGGCTGGGACATAACTGGGAGAGAAAAAAACCCAAAGACTTCTCTGTGGTCATGTGGCCGGCATGACTAAATGCCTATTTGCACGGAACGCTGTTAGCTTCCCACCAAAGCAGTACCTTTTATCTACTTGCAATTTCTTGCTTTCAAACTGCTAGGTTGGCCAGAGATGGGGTCAGAGATTGGAGCTCATTCCATCATGCGGCACTAGGGACTCAAACTGCCAAGTTACAGAACTTCCAGTCTGCAGCTCAATGTCTAAACCTCTGAGCCACTGCGGTCCCCTATTTTCAAAGAACACCCCTCTAAAAAAAAATCCCGCCCCCAGAAAAAAAGGCTTTTACATGTGGGAACTCTCATCACATCCTTCCCAGTTAATTGTTACTGTTTTGCAGCAAAGAGGTTAAAATATTGTAGGGATATCTGAATATTATATACAAGTTTGGGATACCTTCAACCTTTCTTGAATTTATGATTTCATAGTACATATAGGAACAACAATGACCAGGATAACAGTACAAGCAGCAGCCACAATAAGTGCTGCTATTTTGCAAGCTTTAGCTCTTCTAAATTCAGCTTCTTTACGTTTCAATAACGAATCGTAGCCTGGTGTATAGATGTCCTCCATCCAGTATTCAAGATTGTTTGGATTTAAAGATTCTTGAGTCTGAAATAAAAGAAATCCATCAATTTTTAAGAAAAGGTTTAAGCCAGAATACATGCAATATACAGTAGTAGAAAGACTGGATTCACAAAGTCAAATCTTTCTAAAGAAATCTTTCTGAAGACTTTTTAAAGACTAACTTTTTTGTTAACTTTTTTATTTTAAAGACAAAACATACATAAAAACACATAAAGGAGGGCAAGTTATTCTTACAATTCCTTGTTTAACAGACTCATGCCTAATTTATTGTACGTTTATATACATCTTGTTTCATTATGAATATCTCTTGCAAATATATCAAAATTGGACCTTGTACGTCCTTTTTAAATGTCTGTATGATTTATTTGTTATACTCTTCAAACCACTTATAAAATCTTGACCATGTATTACCAAATGTAGTTTCTGGTTCTCCTTTCAAAGTTAAAGTCAGTTTGTCCATCTCAGCCATTTAAAAAAAAACAAACCCCTCAAAATCTCTTCTTCCTCTGTGGGGCCTGTCTTTCCTCTCCCAGAAGACTATTCTTCTCCAATATTTAGCACAGAGTATTCTAGCAGTTATAGTAACATGTAGTATAAGATAAGTCATATTCATCACAATTTTCAGGTAAGATACTCAATAAAATGTTTCTGGAACAAAGGATAAAGAACATTTTAACATTTTTTGGAAAATTTCATGATTCCAAACCCAATTTTTTTTTTTTTGGGGGGGGGGTTATCTCATAACCACCACATATGGTAAAAAGATCCAACATTATTTTGACACTTTCATCTGAACAACTGGGATAAATCTGGGCCAAAATATGCTTTTCCACACCCAGAAGAGTCCTGCTACCCCTAAAGCTCTTATTCCACGCCAGAGCTTGTCATTCCACTCCCAGAACATTCCTGCACAGGGACGGTCATTACAATCTGGAACCTGTCATTCCAGTCCCACAAGACTCCTGCTACACCCAGGGGCAGTTATTCCACTCTGGGGATGTCATTTCAGTCTGGAGCCTGTCATTCCAGTCCCAGATCACTCCTGCAACCACAGATGCTGTTATTCCACTCTGGGGCCTGTCATTCCACTCCCAGAACACTCCTGCTACCCCCCAGGGGCTCTCATTCCAGTCCCAAAACACTCCTACTACCCCCAGGGGCTGTCATTCGACTTCCAGAACACTCCTGCTACCCCCAGGGGATGTCATTCCACTCTAGGGCCTGTCTTTCCACTCCTAGAAGACACCTGCTACTCGCAGGGACTATCATTCCACTCTGGAGCCTGTCATTCCAGTACAAGGACATATCAAGTCATTCTGGAGCCGGTAATTCAACTCCCACTACACTCTTGCTATCCCCAGGGGCTGTCATTCCACTCTGGAGCTTGAAATTCCAGTCCCAGAAGACTCCTGCTACCCCCAGGAGCTGTCATTCCACTCTGGAGCCTATCATTCCACTCCCACAACACTCCTTCTACCTCTAGGGGCTATCATTCCACCCCAGAACACTCCTGCTACCTCCAGGGGCTGTAATTGCACTCTGGAGCCTGTCTTTCCACTCTCAGAAGAGTCCTCATAACCCAAAGGGCTGTCATTCCACTCTGGGGCCTGTCATTCCACTCCAAAAACACTCCTGCTAAACCCAGGGGCTGTCATTCCACTCTGGAGCCTGTCTTTCCACTACCAGAAGACTCCTGCTACCCTCAGGGGCTGTCATTCCACTCTGGGGCCCATCATTCCACTCCAGAACACTCCTGCTACCCCGAGGGGCTGTCATTCCTCTCTGGGGCCTGTCTTTCCACTCCGAGAAGACTCCTTCTACTTGCAGGCGCTGTCATTCCACTCTGGAGCCTGTCATTCCAGTTCCAGAACACAGCTGGTACCCTACAAGGGCTGTCATTCCACTCTGGAGCCTGCCATTCCACTCCTGCAACACTTGTGCAAACCCCAGGGGCTATCATTCCACACGAGCCTTCCTGCTACCCCCCAAGGGCTGTTATTCCACTCCAGGGGGTTGGTTGTCTTTCTACTCCCAGAAATATCCAGCTACCCCCAGGGGCCGTTATTCCACTCTGGAGTCTGTCATTCCTGTCTCAGAAGACTCCTGCTGCCCCCAGGTGCTGTCATTACACTCTAGGGCCTGTTATTCCAGTTTTGCAATACTCCTGCTACCCTGAGGGGCTGTTATTCCAGTGTGGAGCCTGTCATTCCACTCCCAGAACACTTCTCCTACACACAGGGGCTGTCATTCCACTCCCAGAACACTCCTGCTGCCCCTAGGGGATGTAAGTCCACTCTGAGGCCTGTCTTTCCACTCCCAGAACACTCCTGGTACCCCAGGGTCTGCCATTCCACTGTGGGGCTTGTCTTTCCACCCTGGAAATCGCAGGGGTTGTCATTCCACTTTGGAGCATGTCATTCCAGTCCCAGGAAACATCTGGTACTCCCCAGGAGCTATCATTCCACTCTGGAGCCTCTCATTACACTGCCACAACACTACTGCTACCTCCAGGGACTATCATTCCACTCTGGGGCCTGTTATTCCAGTCCACGAAGACCCAGGGACTATCATTCCACTCCCAGAACACTTCTGCTTCCCTAGAGGCTCTCATTCCACACGGGGTCCTGTCATTCCAGTTCCAGAACAGTGCTGCTAACTCTGGGGGCTCTCATTCCACTCCCAGAACACTCCTGCTACCTCCAGGGATGTCATTCCACTCTGGGCCCTGTCATTCCACTCCCAGAACACTCCTGCTCCCCCAAAGGCTCTCATTCCACATGTGGGCCTGTCATTCCAGTCCCATAACAGGGCTCCTATCTCCAGGGGACTTCATTCCATTCCTAGAACACTCCTGCTACCCTCAGGAGCCGTCATTCCAGTCAGCAGCCTGTTGTCATAATTGTGCTGGTGGGCCAGGCAGGGCATGGGAGTCTGAAACACAGTCCAAGGTCAAGGTACCAGAGAAGACAAAGTCCAAAACACCAAGTCAAAACGTAGCCTAGGGTTACCAGAGGTTGTATTAAAGAGTTCAGAAGCCGAAAGCCGTTCGTCAGAAGTCAGGGTACACAGTCCGTAGCCAGGGAGCCGGAGAGAAACGACGTCACGCAAACCAGAGTCAGGAGCCGGGAAGTCAGTACGAATAGCAGGAGACAGGAACGCAGGATCTGGGGTGCAGCGAGTCATCCAAGAGACTAGTTGCCAGCACGAATTGTGAATCTGAGAGAGCTGCCTAACATCGTTGCAGAGACGTAAGTCACTGGTCTTCTGCCATCCCAGTTCCAGTGAACTCCTGCTGCCCCCAAGGATTGACATTCCTCTATAGGGCCTGTGATTCCACTCACCCCATGGGGCTTTCATTTCTCTCTTGGGCCTATCATTCCACTCCCAGAACATTTCTGCTACCCCAAGGTAGCATTCCACTGTCATTCCACTGTGGGGGCTGAATTTCCACTCCCAGAAAACTCCTCCTAATCACAGGCATTGTCATTCCACTCCCAGAAGGCTCTGCTACCTCCAGGGTATATCATTCCACTCTGGGGCCTGTCTTTCCACACCCAGAAAACTTGTACTACTGCCAGGGCCTATCATTCCTCTCTGGGGACCGTCATCCTAGTCTGAGAACACTCCTGCCACACCCAGGGACTGTCATTCCACTCTGGGGCCTGCCATTCCAGTCCCACAACACTTCTGCTACCCTTAGCAACTATCATTCCACTGTGAGGCCTGTCATTCCAGTCCCAGCCGACTCCTGCTACCCCCTGGGGCTGTGATTCCACTGTGGGTCTTGTCATTCCACTCCCAGAACACTCCTGCTACCCCCTTTCCAGTCCTAGAAGATTTCCTCTCTTGGGCCTGTCGTTCCACTCCCAGAACTCTACTACTACCCCCAGGGGCTGTCTATCCACTCTGGGAGCTGTCATTCCAGTCCCAGAAGACTCCTGCTACTCCTTGAAACTGTCATTCCACTCTGGGGCCGGCCATTTTAGTCCCAAGACACATATGCAAGCCCCAGGGGCCGTCATTCCAGTCGTAGAACACTCCTGCTACTCCCAGGGACTGTCATTCTACTCTAGGAGATATCATTCCCATCTCAGAAGTCTCCTGCTATCCCCAGAGGCTGTTATTCCACTATGGAGCCTGTCATTCCAGTTCCAGGAGCCATCTGGTACCCCCCAGGGACTGTAATTTGACTCTTGAGCCTGTCATTCCACACCCACAACATTCCTACTACCTCCAGGGGCTGTAACTCCAGTCCCAGAACACTCCTGCTGCTTGCAGGGACTGATATTCCACTCCCAGAAGAGTTCTGCTACCCCCAGGAGCTGCCATTCCACTCTAGACACAGTCATTCCACTCACAGAACTCTGCTGCAATTCCCAGGGCCGTCATTCTACTCTAGAGCCTGTCATTCCAATCCCAGAACACTCTTGCTACCTCCAGGGGCTGTCATTCCACTTTGGGGGCTGTTATTCCAGTCCCAGAAGACTCCTGCTACCCCCAGGGCCTGTCATTCCACTCTGGAGCTTGTCATTCGATTCCCAGATTACTCCTGCTACCCCCAGGGGCTGTCATTCTACTCTGGGGGCTTTCTTTCAACTTCCAGAAAAGTTCTGCTACCCCCATGGTCTGTCATTTCACTGTGGGGCCTGTCATTCCACTCTGGGGCCTGTAATCCTAGTCCCAGAACTCTCCTACAACCCTAGAGGCTGTCATTGCACTCTGGGGCCTGTCATTCCAGTCCCAGAGCTCTCCTGCAACCCCAGGGGCTGTCATTCCATTCTGGAGCCTGTCATTCCAGTCCCAAATCACTCCTGCCACCCCAGAGGCTGTCATTCCATTCTGGGCCCTGTTATTCCAGTCACAGAACATGCCTGCTACCCCCAGGGCTGTCATTCCAATCCCAGAACACTCCCTCTACCCCAGGGGCTGTCATTCCACTCCCAGAAGACTCCTCTTTCCTGCAGGGGCTGTCATTTCACTCTGGAGCCTGTCATTCCAGTCTGAGGACACATCTGGTACCCCCC